TATATGGACCTTCCTTTAGGCTATGGCAGACGAACTGGGGTTGGTAAACAGGGGGAGAAGGTGGTTTGCAGACTTCATAAATCAATTTATGGCTTGAAACAAGCCTCAAGACAATGGTTTTCGAAATTCTCTGCTTCTCTTCTTCTTCATGGCTTTTGTCAGTCTAAATCTGACTACTCCTTATTCACTAAAGGGTCTGGGACATCCTTTGTGGCTTTGCTTGTTTATGTGGATGATATAGTCATCACAGGGGCTGATCATCAGGCCATTGCATCTTTGAAGAGTTTCTTGCACAGCCAGTTCAAGTTAAAGGATCTTGGTCATTTAAAGTACTTCTTGGGATTGGAGATTGGTAGATCACAGAAAGGAATTTATTTGTCTCAACGCCATTACGCCCTTCAATTGCTTGAAGACACAGGTTTTCTGGGTTGTAAGCCTGCTTCCTTACCTATGGATCCTAAGATCCGTCTGAGTTCCTTTGACGGTGATCCTCTTGTTGATAAATCAATGTACAGACGTTTGATTGGTCGCCTATTGTACTTAACAATTTCACGGCCTGATATTACTTTCACAGTTCATAAACTGAGCCAGTTTGTCTCCCAGCCTCGGCAGCCTCATTTAGATGCAGCACATCATCTGCTCCGATATATAAAATCCACTCCATGCCAGGGACTTTTATTCCCAGTAACCTGCTCCCTTCAGTTACGAGCTTTTTCGGATGCGGATTGGGGATCTTGTCTTGATTCCAGAAAGTCAGTTACTGGTTTTTGTGTCTTCCTTGGGGACTCCTTAATCTCGTGGAAAGCCAAGAAACAAACTACTATCTCACGGTCATCAGCTGAGGCTGAGTACCGTGCCTTGGCCTCTACAACAAGTGAGCTGATTTGGCTAAAACAGTTACTTCTTGATTTTCATGTATCTACTTCTGATCCTGCACTGATTTTTTGCGACAATCAAGCGGCTATTCATATAGCATCTAATCCTATTTTTCACGAGCGCACCAAACATATCGAAATTGACTGTCATTTTGTTCGCGACAAGGTCAATTCTGGTTTCCTTAAACTACTACCTGTTCGATCACAACATCAGTTAGCTGATGTTTTCACGAAGGCTTTACCTGCATCTCTTCTCTTTCCGTTATTGTCCAAGATGGCTGTGTTCAATCCCAGTGTCCATCTTGAGGGGGAGTAACAGACTAAACAGCATTGCATCA